GCTGTTGGAACCAGGTCTGATGTTTCCCAATAGGAAGAGAAGTTGCAAAGGCTGGTGGTCTCAATCTCAGCAAATATCTGGCTGGAAGCAGCACAAAGGACCACCCAAACACACACGTTCTCCAGAAGTGTCACAGAGCACAGTCTTTAGGACCTGAAGGCCCAGACTTAACCCCAACAGGCAGTGGGTTGTGATACTGCCTTACTTCATTTTAAAAGAGGATTTCAGGAGACTCAGTTAGCATGGCCATTAATTAATCAATTATGTAAAATAGATGAGCAATCAGATCTCTTCTTAAGTGATGCTATTCATTGTTAAAAGTTTAATTAACTTGCAGGCTCCTGGAGGGGGAAAAAATAGACATTTGAGATTCAGTTAAGAAACAATGATCTTGAAGTAGGATGAAAAATTGACTTGAGGCCACAAGAGGAAGCCATCTTAGCACTGAAAGGACACAGGTGCCGTCACACGGAGGTGAAACAAAAAAACTGCAGATTTATTCTTGATCACTGCAGACTCTGAACTGAGCAGTTCACTAGTGTAAAGATAAAGTCCACCTCTATAACTGAGCATATCCCTGCTGTTACTCGAGAGCCTGGCGAGAGAGAGCTCGCCATGCATTTCAGAACAATGTCACGGGCTAAGGAATAATACAGCAGCACTTTTGCTCGTGAGCTGTACTTGAATCATGGTAACATCAAGTGTTCCACTAGGAAATTGCTGCTGTTAGCTGAACATGCATCTTTAGAAAGGCTAATTTATAACCACCCAAGTACATAATGGTTTGGGGAAAGTTTTTTGAATTGTATCAAAAGCTACTTGAATATTGATCTTAGCTCTGAAATGGGACTTGCAGCTCAGCATATTATGCGCTGTAGTTTGTGGAAATAGACACCTGATTAAAGGCTCACAAATTCATTGAATTTTACCTTTGCCTAGTGTTTTTTTGGATCAATTTCATGACTTGCCTCCCAAGTCTGTTTAGCTGGTTGGTCGGGTCACTTGTGGAGGTTTAAGCCCATATTCATGCCTCTAGTTTGCATATTTGGTCGTTTATCCATATTTGTGATTTGCATGGAAAACCAGAACGAAGAGAGCCGTATTAAAAAAACAGCCAAGTTTCTTCTGACACACCTTCCAATCCAGAGAAGCCATCTGAACGTATTAGAAGGGTGTGAACGCAAGGAATTAGAGTAATTATTTAGCGGATTACATGGGATTAGTGGGGGTGCAGTTTAAGGAACTACGGGGATAAATATCAGATGAGACCTGGACGGGGAAGCAGAGAGACATTGAAAACTCAAGTGAACTAATCGGAGGGATGTACCTGAAAGGCAACGCCCTTGTTCTGGTCCCCGCATACTGCATCTTTGCAGGTCACTGTGTCTCTTGTAATAGCCAGTCTGTTTTCAGTTCAGATGCAGCCTGCTACAAGGTGAGGGCATGGACAGATGAACACATAGTGGGTGCATCTACATGAGACGTTTACTGCAGAGCTGACAAATGAGCTCTGCAGTAAAATGTTAGCGTCTACATGTGCGCCCCTGTTAGGGTGCAGTAAACTAATAAACACCGCCATAGGATGGTACTGCTCAGCACAGTTGTCCTACAGTGGTGTTATTTACTGTGCTGCAATGCATGCATAGGGGCTGACAGGGGCATGGTGGGGTTTCAGTGGAGGGGCTGCTTGCTGGCTAGCCCTTCCCTGAAGCACCCTCCTCCCCAGCCAGGCCCTCTGCAGCACGATGAGCCAGGTCAGAGCATCCCTGGGCTGGCAGGCTGACCCCTCCCTGTGTCCCCTGCCAGCTGGGGCTGCTTCACCCTGGCTCAATGTGCTGCGGTCCTAGGTGCACATGCACATTGGCAATGCATAGGGGATGCACATGGGTGCACACGCACCCCCTGAGATTGGCTGTGCACCCCCTGGTAGAGCCAGCCATGAAACTAGAAGTGCCCCCTCGTTGGCTATCTGGTGTACTTGGGAGGCACCAGTCGCCCATACACATGCAAACAGTGCACCCAGGAGCAATACACCCTAGCACGAACTGCACCAGAGTTTATTCAGGCACACTAATTGCACGTGTAGATGCACCCTATGTTCACTTTTCCTGGCTCACAAAGAGGCATAGGGATTTTCTTTGCATTCTGGGTGTGGGAAAGGAGCAGGGAGGGGTTGGTTGGATTTTTGTTTCTGTTTTGTTTTCTTTAATTTGAAATAAAAATGAGGAAGACTGGAAAACACACAGGCTTTTGTTTAGATGTAGAAAACATAATATAAAGCCACGTGAATCTTGTTCTGCCTGTTTGATAGGTATGACGCCATCTTGTCCTTACAGGTCTATGCCTATGCCTCTGGGTCAAAATCTGAAGCCTTTGTTGACATTTTCTTTTATTTGTCCCTTGTCGGAGTTTCAAGGTTTACCTCTTGGCAGCAATAGCAGGAAGAAGTGAGTGTATTTATAGGATGCAAAACAAGGTGCTAGAGGTGAGCAATTTGGGACCTTTTAGTAGAAAAAACAAAACAAAACACAGACTAAAGGAATCCAGAAAAGTTTGCAGAATCTGAACTGGCTTTTCTAGCCAGGCTAAAATCCTGCTAATGGCTCAAGTGTTTCCCCATAGGTCAAGTTTTTCTTTTTCCCTTATAGCACTTAACACCATTGGATCTCAGGTCTACCATGTGGGAATCATTCAGAATAAAGGATCGACCATTTTAGACAGTTTTGGAGTGGTTTGGCTAAGGATCTGCTCACTTGTTCTCAGGGTCAGGTAATTTAACATCCTGCCCGTCACTTTGTCACCGTCAGTCGAAGCACTGCAAAGAAGGTGACTGACGTAACATCATTTTCAAGATCATTCTTAGCAAGTTCCTGACCCCTCATGTCCCATTTGCCTCTTGTGATTTGAGTTACACTTCACAAAAAATACCTGTGACGAGGGGCAAGGTGGCTGCCTGTGATTTCCTGTATTTGGGCTTTGCTAAAAAAAGATGCAATTACATGTTAATCTGATATATATATAGAGAGAGAGATATAAAGGCGTCTCTAGGTTATGTGCATTAGCTGAGTTTCTCCTTCCACTCACCTGTCAAGCTATTGCGCTTGAATTGCTGGAGATCCTGGTGTATATCTTGACTCACGTCAATTTTATACTGGAAAAAATTGCTTTAGTCAGGTCTAACAATTTTCTACCCATCCCCTGAGAGTAAATAAATAACAAGCCAAAAGGGACTGTAGTTTCTGTGAAGATAAAAGACAAGATATTAAAAAATAGATCAGGTGCACTACAGTGGGCCTGGCTTGTGCGTGCGGTGATGAGGATTGCCTTGTCCATGCTGTGTCCTGGTGACCCTTGACTGTAAACTTGAGGGAGTCAGGACTTTCTTTCTTATTGGCCTGTTTCTGGCCTAGCACAGAGGCAGAGGGCTATTCCTTGACAATACAAATCATACATTCTCCTCTTCAAGGTTTCTCAACAATTCCTCTCTGCTATTATTGCCCTCCTTGTTGCCTCCATACTTACTTTTGCTCCTGTTCACTCTGTCAGCTCTGCATCTCCTCCTCCTCCTCTTCAAACTCACTTCGACTCCACCACCACCACCAAAAAAAAAAAAATCTCCCCATACGCTCTCTTCACTGCGCTGAGACCTTTCCTCTTGCCTTGTCTGCAGAGATCAATGTCTTTACTCTCTTTGTAGTAAACTATGTGTATTTACAGTGTTAGAGAGAAAGGATGGTTCGATAATCCGGTGCTACTGGCATAGGTGTGACTTGTGGGAGCTGAAGTTACTTTCTTGATCGGCTGTTGGGATCATGAGTAACCCTAGGTGAGTCACGTAGGATCACTCTGAGAAAGGATTTGGGTACCTCCGTGATGCCTCACTCTCACTAAATCTGACACAGCAATCTGCCAAACACCCCTGCTCAGCTGCCGCCTAGCCTCGAATGAGTCTGAATGCCCTGCGCACCTGCTTTTGATATTAAAATGATCTCGGCCCCTGAAGCACCGTATCTCAGCATGCCCAGAAGCACCTGGGTTTATACAGGGCTGAGACACTGAGCACCTAGGTTGGGCATTAGCTGTGCATAGTCTTAACTCAGCGGTTTAAAGCATTCACTCGGGGTGTGAGAAGACTGAAGCCTAAAGCGTAACGGGATCCTGAAGCCTCCTACATCTTGAGTTACTGGGTTAAACCACAGACCTCTACTGTTTAGTCAGAGAGCTACTGGCTGAACAGTAGCAGGCATGCTATAGCATGGCTCAATGAAAGGAAGGAATGACACCCGCGGATACCTTGCTCTTTAAAAAAAAAAAGGGATATTGGTGCCTAAGCTCTCAAGAGGACTGAGATTTAGGACACAGCCATTCCAGTCAGGGCTTAGTGACCACTGCAGTTTTTCTGTGCCTCAGTTCTTGATCTGAAAAATGGAGATAAGAGTACTGTCAAACCTCAGGCATTAAAGGTGCTGTGGTGCTCAGATAACATGGTAATAGAAGGCAATGCATAAATGGCTAAGATAGACGTAATAATATTAGCAGACAGGAAGCCAGTTTGGTAGGGCCAGCCTCAGGTAAGTCCTCTTTACAGTCCCTTTATACTGACTAAGATGTATGGAAATACAGTAGAAAAGAGATGGGGAAACTATTTTCCATGGACTACCTAGCAATTTTATTCTTTTACTGTTGAAGGCTTAAAGTCAACTTCTCGTCTTATAGTGAAAATAAGCTTCACTGGATGATATTAATTGATTTAATGACTCAGTCATGCACACACAACAGATATTTATACAATTATGAATTATAAATGGGTTTTGTTGTCTTTCCTCATTGTATATTCATTTAATTTTAGCTTGATTTATATTGTAGATAATGATGTTAAAATGCCTCTCTTTACAGCGTAGCCACAGACCTCTTCAGGAGGGACTTATTCAATAGAAGCTCCCGATTTGCAAACTTAATTAGGGAGGAAACAAGATTGGAAAAAAAACTAAGTTAATTAGTTTCTTTAAAAAAATCAGTTTTTAATACACCCAGTTTTTGGTTTTTGTTTGAAAGTACAGATTTCTAAAGACATGACATTAACTTCACAGATTAACAGCCGACATTGGACAGAGGTACAGGTATAAAACTGAAATATAACATACACCATCCACTTCAGCACATGATTAAAATGCTGACTCAACACACTGCAGTACTTTGAATCCCCATAATTTAATAAAACAAAAGGCAGGCAATAAGGAATGGCAGACAAATTAAAATTTATTGAGACAGACAGAAATGCAGCTATTTAGGACTACAGTTAAGCATTTACAGGTAACCAAAGAGGTTAGCAAAATATTCACATTCCATTTAACTCCGTATGGAAAAAAGCATTCAGAATTTACTACGCTATTCTAATTTACTATGAGAGTCTACATTCCGGTTACAGTAGGGACATCAAACTTAAACACGTAATATTTGGATCTCTCCTTACAGTGCTACACATTTAACAGTAACGGACATCAGCAGCATTGAGAAAAGTATAAAAAGACCAAAAATCACCTACTGTAGAAAGGGCTCTTTGATGTGGAGTATAGTATCTGTACAAAGCAGTCTATGTATTAAAGAAACTTGAATGGTATACAGAAGGGACTGCAATGAAAGCCAGAGAGTGGAAGAAGCTAAGCTTGAGAGATCTGCGGGTGGGTAGCATTTGCGACCCTCAGATCTTGTGTCATTTGCTGCTCGGGGGGAGAGAATGCTACAAAACTTCTAATATCAACATATTCCCATGCCAGAAATGTACATTGAGACTACAGACTAGGCTGAATAGGTAAAGAGAGCATTCACTAACAAACCGTGTGGTTTTTAAATATAAACTTTACATTTGAAATAGAAACTGTAGAATAAATATTAAATAAATGCTTCCAATGGTTTAAATAATAGCCCCCTCCTCCTTCCCCCCGCCCTCCCCCAAATAAAATTCACGCCCTTGGAGTGTTGACAGAAAAGGCTGAAAACAACAGCAGAAAACCTGCGCTGGCAAGTAAACTCGACTTGGGATGTCCCTCAGCCGTAATGAAAAAACCACCTAACGCCTTGGAACGGAGCGGGACTCGGGAGTGCTCGTCACGTAAATCTTCGGCATCCTTAGTGCCTGTTTCCGTCTTTCCCTTTTGGAGGGTCAGTGTTTGGAGGCAAATGGACTATATTTGATGTTGCAACAAAAACGGAAGTTGAAAGCAACCCGGGAGCATCTTAGCTACCTCTTCGCATGTCCCGGTTGTCACTCAGGACAAACACGAGAAAAGGGAGGCTTTATTGGCTGCACTTTGCCATGGCCACTGGCTCTGGGAACTGTGCACTAAGTGCCTCGTTTGTTTTAAGGAACAGCAAAGGACTTTGGGTAGTGCCTCTTCTAAAATTCGTAGGAAAAAAAATCAAAAGAAAGAACTCTGCTTTGTCATCACTCAGTTGAGAGCTTGATGGAGCCTGAACCATGGCTGTGCTTTGAAACTATCCGCATTAAGGTACCGACAAGTTACCGACTGGGAGTACTGCATTTTCTAGGAAACAGGGTGACTGGCAAAGTTAAAAAGTTACAATGAGTCAAGCTGGTAGACCTGGAATCTCCACCGGATGGTTTTCTACAGACTTCAGTGGAGTTTTACCTCAGCTTGGACCTTCATTGGAGTACCCCCAGCCAAATATATTCTTAACTTCCTCTTCAAAGAAAAACAGCTCTATATATCAGGCTGCGCAGAACATAAGGCCTTGTTCTTTTATACATATGGAACAGTTTCTTTAAATCATACACACATGTATGCTTTGCTAAAACAGGTCAGTGAAGTTACTTTCCTTGAATTATGGCCTATAACAGAAAAGTGCTTAAGCACGTTCTTCCAGTTAAGTGTACTTAAATAATTTCTTGAATAGTCCTGAACCTTGAATAGACCTGCGAGCCTAACAACAGCAAATGGCTTTGCAGAAGTCTCCAGCAAATGGGATCACACAGGGTGCTCTAGCAGCAGCTACCCAAGGCCAAACTCAGCCTCCAGTTGTGCGTGTACAATTCTGTTGATAATTGCTTGACTTTGTGCAGGTGCATCTGTGCACACGTCTCAAGCAGTAATATATTCAGTTTTGCTATGTTAGTTAGTTAATGTTTTTTCTGAACGTAAAAACAGCTGCCCTTGCCTGAGAGACTCAGGTGATTAGAAACTGCAATTTCAGGCCATATGCTAGGGAGACCGGAGATGCAGACTTGAGGGCAGTGGAGTGGTGGAAGGGCTTGTTCAATGAAGCCGCCAGGCTGCGCCTGCCCCCGGTGTAAGTAGTACGAGGCGGTCACTACTCCCCTGCATTTCCCTGCAGGGGTCCTGCTCACACAAGGTGTGTATGAGGGGATTTGATCCCCCTTGGGGCTTTAAATGATGCATAGTAGTTTGTCAGTCTGCGGCACAGCTGCAATGCTAGGAGGATATTGGGGTGCTGTCAGTTTGCTCAAGGGACCGTTGTGTGGGGTTAAGACCGTTTTTCGTGACAGGAAGTAGCCTTCTGATTTTATGTTAAGTTGGAGGCTCCTCCCACTTTGACAGTGAGGCCAAGTGCGGGTGACCTGTGGTCTCGAAGTCCCACACTGCAGGGCTCATGGGCCAAAGGCAGAGACAATTTATCTGGTTAAAATAAACCCCAGGGTGAAGACAGCCATGACGTGCACGATGCTGAGTAAGCAATTTGGCGATGCAAAAATCCTGGATATCAAAAAAGGCAAGTAGAAAAAAATGCTGGATAAATTCCAGACCTTTCCAAAAGTGGTTTTTCAAGAGCTAGAAGCAGGAGAAAGGGATTCAAAGCTAAGTTTCTCGAGACAGTTGCCAATCGTTGGTGCAGTCTGGTGCCCACAGGACTTCTTTGTTGACCTCTCAGTGGTTCTTCAACCAGTCTAACTCAAGTGAAATCAATGGCATCGCTCCAGGTTAACAACAGTGAACGAGGTCAAGATCTTGACCGTTTTGCTGCTTTTGCCACTCATTATAATGACAACACAGAACGGTGCTACTGGGTCAGATACAGTTCAGTCACATCAATGCCGCGACAGGCCTTACGGGGCATATGAATATCTAAAGAGTCAGGAGGAATTAAAATTCGCCCCACACCTCCGGTCCTAAAGTGCAGTAGGTTCCTATGTTGAAGCAATGCCAACTACAAAGTTCCCCAGATGGCTGCACTTAGATGCCCAAATCCCACCTAAGCTGTGTTGTGATCGGGATTGGCGTGAGGTGTTTCAGCACCAAATGGTGGGTACCTACTAGACTGAGCCAGATCTGGCCCATTGGAGCTCTCTCTAGAGCACTCAATGGACAGTGTACAAACATAAAAAGTCAACTCTAAAAGCAGACTTACCAGTTTCACAGAGAAGAGACAAATAATCACCTGGACCATGCAAAACAGTGGCGTATTTATGTTGTTCACCCGCACGCTCTCCCCCCAACTTCAGTGGAACCAGGCATTCATTATCTTGCCTGAACCAGCATGTAGAGGTGGTTCATGCTGTCCAATTTGAGCTAAATAGCACGCCCTGACACACAGGGGAGGAAGAGGGTGAGAACAGCACTGAGCTTATGAACGGCCTCATCCTCACAGGTACGTGGCTCTCGGCCCAGTGGCAGGATGGGGCTGTACACAGCCAGCATACAAGAAGGACTGGTAGGGTTGAAAAAGGGTGAAAAACAGGTGGGATCATGGCTCCATCTCCATGGGGGGAATATGGAGGCACAATGCCTTCCTCAGGTTGCTCGTCGGGTAGAAAGGTTGCATGCTATCTCCTATCCAAAGCTGACCAAAATCTTGCCTTATAAAACAACTGGCATGAATATGAGTGGATTGTAGGACTTGTAGTAAACCTTTAATGCCAACAGTTTTTGTTAAGAGCCGAGCCCTTGTAGCATATTTGCAGATACAAGCTGGTTTTTGTGCGTCTTTCCTGATGATGTTTGCTGCATACACGATTCCTACTCTTGTGTCGTTTTCCCGGTGTGTTGCATCACTGTACCGGCAAATCCCTCGAGCGTGGATGTGAATGGTGCCTGTCCTTTTACATTCTGCTCAGCTATACAAATTATCACTACCTTGATAATCGAAGCAAAAAAATGATTCATCTCCTCAGACAGGCTCCTTTTGTAATGACCAGATTTTCTTTCTGTAAATCAAATAGCAGGCAAAGGCTTTGAAACAACTCTTTAACAGGAAATCCAGCTTTTGTGGGTGTAATTATCATCAGCTGGAGCCTCCGTGCATTTCTGCTCCGTGTATTTATACACACGCAGCCCCAGGCCAAATATATAAATTGCACAGCTTAAAATGTTTTAAATCTCAGCTAGCAGCACCCCATGCCTGTGAAACAATATCAGAGTCCATTGCTATGTCGGTATAATAAGATCACTTTAATGCAGTAGCTTTTCCAACATGAAGCCATAGGGCTGGAGCCTGAAAGTCCTCAGCTGTGTAAGCACTTGCAGTGAAAAGGATGTGTCTTCAGGCCTTTATATGGAAACCTTTAAACAATAATTTTATCCTTGATCACCAGAGCCCCAGGATAAGCATAAGTGGGAGACACAGACCAGAAAAAATGACCCGGGACTCAGCTTTCATAAGAAAAGTGAATTCAGGCTCCTGGCCTAGGGTGACAGGTGAAACGTGCTGCTTGCTGTATGAAATCTGGCATTTACAGTGGCAGGTTTCATTTAGCAAACTGGACCTTGAAGTGATATTTAAACCCCCAAAACTAATCATGGAAGAAGCAAGATAGATAAGCAGGCAAAATACTACTTACATAGAGCAGTGGCCTGGGGTTAAACTATATTGCACAGCTGCTTTGAAAAGTAAGTCAGTGAGTTTGCAGTAAAGAGGAGACTGTTGAATGGAAAGCTAAAGTTGTACTCTGAAAAGCTACTGGCCCAATTCATTTCTGGTATAACACCACTGACATCAGTGGAACTACTCGTGTGTTAGGGCTACAGGAATTAAAACCTCTCGTGGATCATTTTTGTCCTCTTAAGTGCAAAAATGAATTTGCAACAGAAATATATTTCCTCCCTTAACTATTCGCACGTACTGTGTTTTCTGATCATCTGAACTAAACGACAGTAACAGAAGACGTGATAAGGTGCATTCACTTTATCAATGAATTACAACAGGAAAGGACAGGGAAGAATGTCATTGCAGCATGCTGAGCTGCCGCTGGAGAGAGAGGAATGAATGGGAGATATTTAATGAATTACAGGTTTCATTTTGATAATGTTCTTTTCTTTTATAGACACGTACGGGAACTTCATATTAAGCAGAAGAGATGTTCGTCTGAAATATCCCCGCCTAAGGTAGTTTCTAAACAGATCAAATAAATATTAACTATTTAAAATAAAGCAAAGGACAGCCTATTACTTTTGATGGTTAGTGCCTTTGACAGCTTCATTGCATTTGAATGGGGAATCACTTAAGAATAAATGAAGTAAAGGCAGATCTATTGGCACGTTGTTCAGGAAACAGAGGCAGCTCACATGAAATAAGTGCAAACCGGTCCCAAAACAGAAGCGCAAGATTTGCTGGTTGGGAACTGGTCACAATGATCTAGAGATGCAAAGCAGTCTCTACTCAAGCCCTTAGAAAGGGGGTTATAATCCCATTCTCCTCCTACGTGGTCTGAACTCAGCTGTAGCCACAGGGATGTAGCATGTTTAAGGGGCAAGACCACATTGTGTTGAACAGGGAAACTTGTTTTCTCACTGTAAATGATCTGATCCTGCAGCTTTCAACCACCTGGAGTTTTGCCATTGACTTCAGCGAGGGCTGGACTGAGCTTGTAGTAATCATTCTTAAGAGAAAAACTCATAAACAGGTTGCTTTCTGATGTTAACCCACTAACAGTAGGGTAGTAGGGAGGGATGACTTACTGTACAGAGATGACTTACTCTTTAATGGAAAATGCCGAACAGAGGAAAGAAACCGAGCCACCTGCTTTTCCATACACCCTACCATTTTAAAGCAAAGCAGTTGCTTAGAGCACGATCAGAAAGATTCAGTTAAGAAATTCAGTTTTGACAAAGCCTCTCTGATGTTGATAATATAAAGAGGGCTTCTAACACCTGCATTGGTTTGCCGAGCCCCTTCTGCGTTTTATTTTTATTTCAGAAGATACATTTAACAAGCTTTGCAGATGGGGGTTAACCTATGAAATGTTGTTGAAACAAAACTTATTGCCCTGGCGATGGACCAGAAAAAAAAGGGAATAAACCGTATTGAAAACAGTAGTTGGTTGGAAAAAACCCCCATCTCCGAAATGATACATACTGTACAAAATTAAACAGTGGAGCAAGAATATTTTGTGCCTGGTATTTTTAGATACAATTGCAGAGATATGAAGTGACTTGCAATATTGTGCAAACATGAGTCCTCCGAAATGTGGGAACTACCATATATAACCAATTTCATCATCCTTATCATCATCTTCATCTTCATCGTCCTCATTAGCCGCTCTTACATGAATCTTCAATTTCCCTTCTTTGTCCTTTTTTGCTGCTTCATGTTCCTCTTCAAGATCATCCAGCAATACGACAGAACCACCGCTGCCAAAATCCCCTGAGGTTTCTTGTTCTTCTTCTAAAATAGGTAAGAGTTAAAGGTCATTCTTTTACCCAGCACCTCCAAAGACTTTTGAATCAACATTTGTTAGTATCCCTATTATTCAAGCTACTTCAGTTTTGGCACTAAACTGATTTTTAAAAGAGGAAATTTTGCGAAGTACTGCACAAGTGCATATAAAAACAAGCATTCATCTACTGTGTGTACAAAGCCACATGACTGGAAAGGAATGAATGGAATTTGATAACAGGATTAAGAATGAGATGCAGAGATCACGAGATTTCTGGTTGACATCTGTCTAAGGAAAATGATTATTATCTGATAATTATTTGGAGGTATATATGGAGCAAAAAAAGCCTGTGTTTTGTTACTGAAAATCCATGGTATGTGAGAGACGTAGTTTCCTTTCACCTGGAAAGTTCTGAAATTCAAAAAAAGTCATCCTGGTTCAGGATGAAATTTTATATTTCAAAAATGGAGTGAAAGGAATTACGCTGCAAACTGCAAATCTAAGGGAGAGAGTCCAGTTAGTCAATCGAAGTGTTTTATTCTGACCATTTTAAAATGCTTTGTTTCATTTTAAATTATTAATTGAAACATACTTTTATACTAGATTAAATTTTAAAAATGCAAACTTATCCTGAATAAGAAAACCGACATTTTGCATTTGAAAATGTTGAGATGAAACCTTTCCAAATGTATCAAATGCTATGGCCGTGTCCAGACAAGCGTGGCTGTGCGGTATGTGGCACTGTCCCATGGCGCCACACAATGCACATTTAGGTGTTTTCTGCTCTGCTACCTTGCAGCATTTGGGGGGGGGGGCAGGAGGGGGGTTTGACCCTGAGAGATCCCAGGGTCAAGAAAACCCACACAAGAGAAAAGCAGGGCGGCGCACATGGAGACAGCAGGCGCTGCCTGAAACTGGAACCTGGCTGGCCAGCGCCACGCTCCAGCTGCCGGCCAGGCTCCCAGCTGCAGAAGCACTATGGCTGCAGCTCCCCAGCCCCCAGGACCCAGGTAAGGCTGCTGGAGCCAGCACAGTTGCTCCCCTACCCCACCCGGGGTAACCTGCTGCACACCAGAAGGTGCGTGACATGGGTGTTCCCCAGGGACAATGAGCAGCGTGCCGCAGCTCATCTGGACCCGGCTTATGAGTCAAGAAAGGTTTGAAAACTGCCCCCTTCCAGGTAATAGTTTTGGTTTTGATAAATGAGCACTTTTTGATCAGTTTTAAACTATGTTATAAAATCCCCATTGCTATTAACTCTAAGGGTATAAGCAGATGTTACCAAACAGAGCGGATTAGCTATGGTGGGATGTGTCCTGCCACAGCTGACCAGCTTCATGGGGTGAAACGCACCTTGCCCGCTCTCCCACATCAGGCAGAGGCCCGATGCTGTGTGACAACAGGCAACACGTTAGCTATTTCGAGAGATGTACCTTGGAGATTCCCCAGGGCACATCTGTGGGGAACAACAGCTTTCCCTGCTTACAAAGACGCAGCTCAGAGATTTCCCAGGGCTTGTTTCTAAGCAGGGAACCTTTCTGTCCTCTCCTTGGAGAAGTGCCTTGCGGAGCATTTCTAAGTAGGGAAGCCCAGCTCTCTGATTATAGAGACATGCCATGGACATTCCCCAAGGCACGTCTCTAAGGGGGAAACCCTGGCCTTTTCCATTTACAGAGATGCATCCTAGAGAGAGATTGCCTGAGGCACATCTCTCTAAGAGGGGAAAGCCAGGCAGGCAGTCCAGGGGCTTGAGGAGCCCAAGCCCGTGCGGTAATTCCTGGGGCTTGCAGGATCAGGCCCCTCAAGCCCTGAGAGCACCGGGGGAGTGCACCAACAAGCAAACAGCTATCTGCCGTGATAAAGCAGCAGGAACTATTTCCACCTTTATGGTGGTCACGGATTTGGGGCATTTGTGACATGACCGGGGGTATGAATGTCTGTCTGCTTGGGCTTTGTGCTGCCATAAACCTTTTTAGGGTCTTGGAGCAAGGCATCTGGGAGGTGGCCCACTCCTCCAGTGACTAGGCAGTGTATAAGAGGCTAAGAATTTTTTTGGGGAAACCTTCTGGTTCCTGCAGGGGCAGAATGATTCAGCTCTTGGCTCTCCCACATTTAGAAGCCAGATCTGGTTAAAGATCTAAACCCCCTCTCCCTGCTTGGTTAGTTTGAAAACTGGGGATGTTGCCTCCCAGGGATAAAAGGGCAGCGTGCCCAGCTTGAAGGGGCCAGGCCACTATGGGACCCAGAAGAAGGGGCTTCAAGAAGAGCTGGTACGAGCTGGCCCACGGGGTGGAGCAGTTGCCCCAGAAGAGCCCAGAAGCCGGTGTCCAGCTTGGCAGGCAGGGCGGCATGCTGGGGGAATGCCCAACAGTGACTCCAGCTGCAGGGACCCCCGGCGGTGATGCAGATGTGACCCCCGTCTTCTCCTCCCCAGCACGTGGCTGGCACTGGTGTACAGGTTGGTACACGGAGGGTCCTGGCCCCCGTGCTAGGTGGCCCGGGCCCCGTAACATCCCTGGGGCAGAAGGCTGGTGCTCTCAGGAGTGGGAGAGAGCCTGGGAGGGGCCTGGAGGCACCGAAGCCCTGAGCGGTGGCAGCATCTTGGGCTTGGGTTTTTCCTAATCCCGGTGTGAGGCCGGGCAGCTGGCTTGGCATGCAGCCAGCATTCAGAGGATGCTGGATGGACTAAAGCCCAAGAGCTGCAAACAGTAGCCCAGCCATCGATAGCCCAGTGGTAGAGCTCTTGCCTGCCATGTCGGCTACCTGGGCTCTGTTCCTGGCTGGGGAAATATAGGAGAGAGTTGCTGGAAAGAGGGAATCCCCACCAGGGAGCAGGGCTTCCCTTCATCTTCCCCTGCCCCCTCCTCCGGTGTGCCTGCACCTTATATTTTGTGAACCTGAGCCTTGTATTTTCTTGTTCATTTGCCTCTGCCCAAAGTATGTGTTTGTCTTTGCCCTTACTGAATCCGCTCTTGCTCCCTGGGCCCCCTCCACAGATACCCAGGGGAGTGCACCTTATTGACCCCGGATCCCCATCCTCTCCTGCACAAATGTTATACCCCAATCCTGTTCTTCCCTTATTAAATTGCATATGGTCCAGTTCCCACTGGTGTTTCAGCTCTACTCTATAGGGAGGAGGAGAGCTGCTTCTCCATAAGCGGTTATCCTTCCCATAGTGCACCCACTAAATCCCTTAATTTGGAGAGGGGGTACCTGGTCTGCGTACCACCCAGGTTACACCTGACGTAACACAGACCTAAGATCCTACCCTGCCTGCCACCAGTAAAGCAGGGGAACCAGGGCAGCCAATGTCTTACTTTTCTAAAATGTTGCCAATATACCTCTAGAGGTCCCAGGCAGAGGGCTAAGCCCTTTGCTACAGAGGAAAGCAAAAACCTCCACTATCCACACCAATCTGACATGGGGTAAAATTCCTTCCTGACCCCAAATACAGTGATCGGTCTGACCCTGAGTGGAGGGACAAGACCCTCTAGCCAGAAACCTCCAGTTTGCTCCTAGCAGGAGTCAACACACCCCAGTTGGAGTCCCCAGCCTTAAGTGCTAGTGGGTGTTGCAGGCACACTGGTGGACAAAGGTATGCAAGAATGGTCCTCCTTCTACATCTGAACCGGGTCACTAGATAAATTTAGGCTGATCTGCATCTTCTTGCACACATTTGCTGCCTGCCTGCTTGGAGTACATGTCTAGTTGGTGTGGGGACAAGCCGGCAAGCAGGACTCTGTATGCTTGGTTTTGTAACCACAGATGGAAACACCTTTCATATGCTCATGTGTCTATTGTAATTATTTAATTGTATTTGCATAGTAGTCCATGCACCTACTGACTGTGGCACAGCGACTTCCAGTATCATGTTGTTTTTAGATCTTCAAAAGGTTTGCTTTCTCTGCTGTTGCTAGAAGCAGAGCAGTCAAACCTACCCCCATAGAGACCCACTGAAGAAATTCCACTTAAATCTTGTTTGCCTAGCTATTCAGAATGGGGCAGTGTGAGCATAAGGCCTCTGGCAGACGTTACACTTAAGACACAATTAACCACTTAATTGCATTTTAAAGTGTAACCTGGCTACATGTTCATGCCTTTAATGGCACAACAAAAAGCAAAACCAGCTACCAATTTATTACACAAAATAGGTGAAGGTGAAATCATTTTGTGGCTGGCTTCCATCATGCTTTAAAATGAATGTGAGGTCAGGTGGACTGCACTGGGTCACAAATGGGTCCCAGTGTGGTCTCTTGCAACTGCTGATCAGCTGATCTTCAGCAGGATCAGGACCGCATTGGGGCTCAAACCCAGGTGTGATCTTTGTCAGCTGCCGATCATCAATGAAAATAGTTCTGTGCCTATTGTAATGACTTAATTTTAGCACGCATTCACAGTCTTCCAATATCACCGTAACTTCCAATATCACCATGTTGCTGGCTCTGGGTCTCTGGAGCCAGCCAAAAACCAGCTGATTGTAGGGCACCTTTGCTGTTGCATTGGCACTGACAAATAGGGCAAGATTTGGGTCTGATCCTCAATCACATATCCCGGCATGCAGGAGGTGCAACTGTTGGGATGTTTGGATTGTGGATCAGATCCCATCGTGCCTCCAGCTGAACATCTGTCAGCAGCCTAACTATACTGTAGTACTGACAGTTTCAAAGGACTTGGTTGTTATTTTATAAAACTCCCCATAGTTAAACTTTGCATTCTTAAGGAAGCTCTTATTTATGAAGCTTCTATAAGTGTGTTTGCTACTGAATAAGGAACAATACAGGTAATAGCCATGCGCGACAGCCTCACATCCTTTATTTTGATAACAGTTACTATATTTCCAAGCTGGTAGCAAAACCTTTTTCTCATTTATTGTTGTTCCCAATTTCATACTGTAACACCTGCCATTCTTTTGGAATGAAAGTACATGAACACGCAGCCACCTTTGGACTGTGAACAGGAACATGTGTGACTGCTTTTGAACACTGGTAATTATGCTGCCTACATTGTCACCTTTTTGTTATCATAGTTCATCTTCCCACTGTGGCAGGCCTTACAACAAAGTTAATTTCTCTCTTATCTTAGAAAGGATGCCGTTACTCACCACAGCTGACTGTCCCTTGTTTTCTTGAGCCGGCTATCTCATTACCATACTTATCAACACACCAGCACTGCCCTGTACTTCCATGACATTGTGTTGCTTTGTAATAGCCTTCTTCATTGCATCGTGGAATGAAAGCACCTAAATAAAGCAAACCACATAATTTTTATAGGCGCAAAGGAGAGAGTAGACTATTGTGGACTCATTTCTCATTTATACTGAGGCATTTAGCACTGCTGTGGTAGTTTGAAGTGGGCACACAGTACACTTAAGTAAGGATTTAGCATTATTAGAGAAATCAGAGTGGGGCCAATCTGAAGGGGTTTTAGCTCAAATAACAGGCTCTTTGGGCCTCAGCTCCTGCTTTGACCTGTAACAAGCAACAAATAAAGTCAAACCATAAAAAAATAACCTTGACAAACACACTTGAACTGGAAACCTTTGTATTAGCTCCAATTCAAAACATGCTTCTGCTTTCTGAAAAGTGCAGAGGATTTTCTTCTTTGTGCTTGAAATGCAAATGCATGTTCTGAAGTAAGGGCCTCCTAACATATTACTGGGTGGTTTTCTTTCCTGTGGGAAATGTATTCTTTTCAGATGCTCCACCTCATGGTTGGTAAAAGTGCAGGGTCCCCATCTTCCTTAACGGTGGTAATATTTTGCAGTGCTATAGCACCATCTTTCCAAGGGTCTCAAAGAACTTTACACACATTGGTGGAGTTAGCCTCACAACACCCCTGTGAGTTGTGTAAATGTTATTATCATCTTCACTTTGGCTAAGTGCAGGCAGTCAAAAAGCCCGAGGCTGAATCAATACAATCTGTGCAGGTTAGTCGAAACTGGGTAGACTGAACCGATAAGCAAGTGAACAGACATTCACTTTTGATTCCAGAAATGCAGCCGCATGCCTGCAGTGGCCCAGGCCAGAAGCAGGAGGTGGGGGTGGGGGGCAAGCCGACTAATGGCTACAATGTTCCAAGTTGCAACACTGCAAACTAACATCAGGATGCAGTTTAGTTTGCAATGGTGCAAACTCATTTAAACCCCCAAAACTCATACACATGTAATGTGTGACGCCATTAAGCCACACAAAGGGAAATTTCTGTCACATGTACGTCGTGACATCATCACGTGTACAAGTGCCCTCTGATTCTACATTCAACAAGGTTTATCTTAAATCAGTTTTGGCCATTTTGAAAGCGGTTTATGTGCGCTGAAATTCTGTTCTGTTGCTGGTTTAAACTGGTCTCTGATCACTTATACCAGTTTATGTGTAACTTCTGTCCCTAGCCTTTATGAGCAAATCTGTTGTCTGTTCCTGGTCATTGTGTAGGCAGAGGCAGCAGCTATATCTGTGAGGTTACTTATTCTCTATTAATTATTCCCTGAGCCTTGCTTGTCTGTTAAGTTGAACTTCTTTAATGTGGGAAGAACTGAAAAGATCATTGTTGTCCAAACGCATATAAATTCAGCAAAGAGTTATTCAAGAGAAAGTGGAGGGGAGAATCTAAGGCACACATGTGCTTTAGGTTTCAGCTCTCATTGAACGTTGTTTGTGACCAAAACTTGACTGTTCTGTCAAACGCCTGCTGGGCAACAAGAATTTGATCTAGGATCAGGTGCTCTTTATTCACAGAGAAGGACCAGGTGACTCTGGGAGGATGTGGTTCTGATATAGACAAATGATGAGAACGTACATGTTCTACAGCACAAGGCTGCCTGCGGCAGACCGAACTGACTACACCCTTGGACACAGCCATGAGTGATGGGTGGTGCATTAGTTTCTGTGCCCCAGGTACAGTCCCTATTAGAATAGTTCCTCAGATACGCATCAGACACACAGGGCCTTTTCTGTTTCTTTTGTTGTATGCTGTATCAGCCCTTTAAAAACTGCAGCGTGTGCCCCCCATATCCTGTTCAACTACTGACAGTATTTAGCCAAGGTTAGGGCATAGCTCTACATGCTCACTAATCTTCCCTGCCAGATTGTCACAATTAATTTTGCTGTGTTGAGGACCTGATCCTGAATCCACATAGTCCTAATGCAAGCCCATGGACTGAGGATTCACTGCTCTCTGTTTGCATCTCAGAACCAGGTACAACCCATCACTGATTTAAGTTCTCCATAGATCTCCTTTTGGGTTTAAAATGTGGTTTCCTTCCAATTAGAGCCATAGCCAGGCCAAAATTAATTCCAAATTTCATTTTAATTTATGTCTTTTCAACTGTTTATCAGATCAGTCTTTGTGTACCACGATAATGATCTCTGCAAGGTATCTGCCATCTGCTCGCTATTTAATTCGTAACAAATTGAAGCACAACTCCAGACTTATTACAAGTTCCCATGTATAAAAGAAGCACTAATGCTTTTCAGGGATTGGAAGCTGAACAATACAATAGTTTTAAATTTTTTCGTCTAACAAAGCCCTTTTGCATCAGCCTGTGAGAGAGTGGTGCATTCTTGAGCCTGCAGACAGGCAAGCTCTCAAGAGAAGCCTGTTTTATTGTTCACACCACTTTCAGTAGCTATAATGCAAATGTGCTTCAGTATGAAAAAAACTCACTTGTCCTTAGAGATCAGTTAGCTTTATTCCCCGGAGAGGTCTGCATAGTCTCTTTCCATTCTTTGCTGGTTGCTTCAGTTTCAAGCACAGAAAAACAACCTCTATTGTCTCAAATGATTTTTGAGAAAGTAGCTTTTTCCTTTGTCAGGGATGCCAGTGATTTACTGGTCGCACAATACTTCCTTTAACTAGTTCCACGTATACAGCATCTCTGCATATTGTTCGTGTGCGTCAAAAAGGCTATTTCCACTGTATTGGCCATTGAAGAATGGGGAATGAATGAGGAAGCACTGCCCAAATGCCATGCAATTACTTATATAAAAGACATACAAATGGGAAGCCAGTCACATATATTATGAATCCACGAGTTTCCCATCTAATCCCACTGCAGCTATTAAAGCAGATGTCCAGTTTTTAAATGTCAGAAATGTAGTTCTGAAACATCCGAGCATTAATCTTTCTCTCTCTGACCTGATTTTAGTGAACATTTTTACACTTATTAACAGTGCTGTTTTAACCAGCCAAAGCGGGGGTCTTAGCATGTTTAGATAGAGATGCCATTGGTGTGTTCATATACCAGGAGAACTGCAAAGAGGATGAATATTCCTGATGATCAAAGACTTATTTGCTTTATTATTCACATTCTAATAATAGAGTGAGTGTGCTTAGCCATACTGCTTCCGAAGCTCAAATTCACTGTTAAGTCACTTAATTCAATATTGACCCAAAAAGACTTTCCAAATTCATGCCTGTTCCTCTTCTTATTTAAACACTATGGGCTCCTATACATGTGCAGGGAGGTTGTGCTGATGTGCTGTAATTACAGTCCGTCAGAGCAGACTCGATTAATCGTTGTAATTACCGCACTCCAGCAGACTCTAGCATCACGTGCATCAGCGTCGCTGCGCTGAAAATGGTCGCAGGGCACTTTAAACTAAAGCTCATTTGACAAGCTTTAGTTCAAGGTGTCCCACCACCATTTTTCAGTGCAGGGACACTGATACACCTGACTCTCTGGGCGCTTTTAATTAGTGAGGCTTTCAGAGATGCACTAATTAAAGCACCCCAGCTGCCCCTCCGGAGCACGTGTATAAATGCCCTGAGACCTGATTTGGACTACACAAACCTAGAGAAGTTTATGTAGCTTAGATTCTCACCTAGTATAAAATGATACAACTCAACTGGAAGCAATGGAGTTATATTAATTTACATCAACCGATGATCTGGCCCCAAGTACTGATTAATGCACGAGTCTAAATGACGTTATAAGGGGAGCCGGTATTTCTATATTTAGATTCCCTAACATGGTGTATTACAAATGTGTCTCAGAATTTATTTTTTTCAGAAGCTTCATTATGTCTGTTCTTTGCATCAAACCTGGATATTCACCATGATGGGCACTCAAAAAGCATCAAAAATGCTTTGCATTTGTTGCAAGTGACACAGGGCGCATCTACATGAGACATCATGTTGCCATAGTGACGAGCTACGTGACTGTAGCTTGTTGCTACAGTGACGTAGCATTGCCGGGCATGAACCATGACTTGCTTAAGCAAGTATTAAATGACTGTGTAGTAACAACCACACAGTCTACTGCACATGTAGACGTGCCCACAGTGTATAAAAGCAAGGGCCCCAGCTCTCTTTATTCACAAGTGACTGAGACGCCACTAACTTCACGAGTCTCACAGTTGATGCACTTAGGCCTGTTCACCTAGGGTTCAAAGCAGGCCAAGGGATGATGCACAGGAGAAGGGGAATTTCCCTTCTGCAAGTGGAATGTAGATCCCTAAGGCCCCAGCTACATGCTGACTGGTTAATCGCGCAATAAATTTAGACCAGCCACATGTGCAAAGCAATTATCGCATGATAAAATTGACTATCCAGCGATCAAAAGAGCCAACCAGCTATAAAGTTAGTGCTTGAAAATGTGTAATAACTGTATAGCTGGTTTCTACCCAGCTTTGATTTGAATGGGTAGCAGGGCCCTGATTCGCATGTGCTTGTACACTGAGCCTTTCAATATCTAATTAAGGAGCTAGAGATGGGGCAAGCCTGCTGATGTGAGGTTGCACATGTGAGGTCTGAATGCTGCAGTCGGTGTATTGGCCAAGCAGCTGAGTACCGAGATTAGCACACGCACTCCCTAAATTCACCTGCTGGAGGCAGTGTCACCAAGACCGTACATATCTATGAAACAAAAATGCCTCTAGAGGAATCGGTTACAGTAGTGGCAGAGACATACCAGAGCCGTACCCTATGACTTTCACACACCTCACATCATATGAATATTTTGATCCCAGATTTTGGTTTGGCCCAACATAAAAAGAGAGTTCTCGTAAGCAGTGTCAGTCCTCAGTTCTGTGTTTATATAGCATTCATCCCTGTCAGATCGGCAAGCCTTCCTGAAGGCCCAAGTCCTCAGAGAGGAGGGTTTGGGATGGAGCCATCTCACTGGCTATACCGCTCATTAAAAAAAAGCTGCCAATCATTTGTCAATCAAATGAGTCACACTTTGGTTTCAAAACTCCTGCCCCTCCCACCTGTTTCCTCCTTTGTGTCTGCCCCTGTTTGGCCCCTGCTCAGCTTCCAACCTTATTACATGCTTCCTTTTTGGCTTGGCTTGACCTCTCATTCGCCCTTCCACCCTTCTGCTTCAAACCTGCTCCATTCTCACGGCATCTCTGGTTCTCCTTGCATTTGAACTCTCTTCCTATGTCTGAATTAGAGACTAGCTTTCCTAGAGCACGGAGTTTGCCACTGGAGCGTTCTGCAACGTCCGACCCAACTTTCCATCACGATTCTTGAAATGATTCTCACCCACCAAACTGGGAGAGAATTGTGCCTATGCCACTGCTATTGCTTCACAGGAATGAAAACAAGTAATAATGAACCAGCCTGGCATGTGTACTGCATACAGAAAAAAAAGTATAGGCTGCTCAGGATACTTTGATGAGAGCTAGCTGAGACTATAGGAGATGCTGGTTTATTTTCTGCTTTGTCACAAACATCTTGTGTGCTCTGGACAATGCACTTAGAATCTGAGCGGCAGAAGGGCTTGCGGGCTTAACCACTGCATTAGGTGCCTAAGTCCAAAATGCTGATCTTTAAAATCCTCACTGCCTAACCCTTAAGGTGCCAGGAGTTTGTGGGTGCCTGAGTTTCCAATGTTAAAGCTCTGTATGTGCCTAGAGTTTTGCTCCTGGGCATGCCTGCACAGGGCTTAGCACAGAGCTGTGGATCCGATGTCATCCAATGACTTGTCTATCTCAGGCTGAGTGCTAGTGAGCTTCAAAGACGTGTTTCTTTGCCTAGTTCACCTGCCGAGCATCCTGGTAGGCATTCTCAGAACACAAACCCAACCTGGACGCATCGGGGGCTCTCCCATTGTATCCGGTACCTACCTCTGTGGCTGAAGCCACACGTAGGCTCTAGGTGGAAGACATGGGCCCCCTTGAGTCATGAGGCCTGAGGGTATTGTGGGGTGGAGCGAGAGCGGCACTCTCAATTCCTCCTGTTGCCACTTCCTGTTTTATATCTGGTTTTCAGCAGAACAGAGAGTAGAACTGAGATATATCCTCTCCCATTTGAGTGCCTTAATCAATAAGCTATAGCGTCCTACTTGATTTCTCTTTTTTTCCAATCCGTTGAATATTTACTTACGCCATGCAAAGTGGAGCAGCACTGCAACAGCTAAGTCTCCTTTGTGGATTTAGCTCTAAGACTTTCTCTGCCTCAGTTTCCTGTCTGTAAAATGGGTCCTTTCTTCACAAGAATAAAATGAAGATAAATGTGTTAAAGATGATAAGGAGCCCAGATAAGTACCCGAGATTGACAGAATTTCCTGCCGAGCAAACTGGTAGCGTGTCTATCTCTGTGTTAGCTGTTACCCCAACTAAAATTGCTTGGATAGGCTGCTGATGGAAGTAGAAGTTTATTACCTTGGTGATGCAGGAGAAGTATTATCAGGCCGCACAGACACACTCTTTAAAAGTACAGTCTCTACAGTTAATTGTACCCTAAATATATCTGGTAGGCGCAGATGCATAGGGCTGTTTACTTTTTAATTCAGTCCCCTGGGAAGATGGATTGGATTTGAAAGCCTCCAAATTCAACATACCTAATGGCAATGGCTTTGAAGTATTCTGTTGCAATTGTCATCTGTTTTGTAAAGCATCAAGGAAAAAAAATGCCCAAAGACCTCGTTTTTCCTCAATGAGCACAAGTTTACAAAAGTCTTCCTGATACACAGTGTCTGGAATATAAATATTTCACTTAGCATGTCAGAGAGAGAGCAGGAAAGAGAATAATTAAAAGGGTAGCCTCTCTGATAGCGCTCATATCTTATTTTTATCTTCATTACTGCTACAAGCAGCATTTTTGTTTTCCATTCGCATGCTTTTTTGCAATGGAGGCAAGGGAAAAAAACATTGTTCTGCTCTGTCTAAATAGCAATGTGATCAGATAAGCAGCTCACAGAAGGGTGTCATTATGCAGACATACTTTCAAGGTACTAGCTGAAGCAAACAGTTCCTTTCTGTATTTGCTTGTAGCCTGTACAGCTATATATGTCATATACCTACTGATTTGCTAAACTTAGTTGGTTTTATTCTTTTCTTCAATCCAGTGGTCTTTGGGTATTGGGGCTAAGTGCACATTATACACTGGTTTTATTTTGCCTGCTCCTGTGATATGATCACTGCAATGCGATGTTCTATATTAAATAGTCATTATTTCCCCCCACGTCAGAACAAATCATTTATTTTTCAGCCTAGACAACAATTATTTTATCTTGTAAAGAACAACAAAGGAGGAAGAAGCAGAGGGCTAGATTATAAAAGCTAGTGGTTATGGATGCACTGTTCCCATTAGAAACGATTAGGAGTTGGGATGCCCGATTTCTGAGGTGGCTTTGGAAATCACAGCCTCCACGCGAGACGGGGAGAACAACACAGCGACTTCCTCTGCAACAGCCTGCGCCTGACCTGGTGCATGCAGAAAACCGGATGATGTGTTTTTATTCCATAGCCATGAACGTGCGGGTGTCTTAGCTTTGACACGGGCTGGTTGTAACCACAATGCAAATACATTATGGATGAGTGACAGGGCTGAACCGGACGCCAGTTGGCCTTGAGGAAAGTTTCAGGTTCCTCGATTAAAAACCAAGTATAATGGCATGTGTCTGTCTTGAAACGGATCTGAATCAGAACCCAGAGTTTCAACGTTACAGGATTCTGGGAAATCTTAGATTTACTGAAAATGTTTCCCCGCCTCTTTTAATGGGTTACAAATGGATTGAAATGGGTTTTACATAAAGCCTACATGACAACCCTGACAGGGCCATATTACTCTGGCTTTAAAGTCTAGGAACATAACTAAAGAGAGCCCTGGTCCTACAGTAACAAGTCCCAAGGAGTCTTGTGCATGTCGGGGACTCACTTAAGACCTTGCCCTGGGCTCAACGGGCTCCTACAGGAGTGCCCGGTGCCTGCTCCGATGTGCTGGAAATCCAGTGCGTTGAAGCAGACTTGGTTAATTGAGTCAGCTGAAGCATGGACACTGGTGTGCTCCGGTGGTTTTCTGTGCCATGTGTATCAGTGTCCTCACATCTCCGCGCTGAAAAAAAGGGTGGTGGGGTGCTTTGAAATACAAGACATTCGATGAGCTTTAGTTCAAAGCGCCCCGCTGCCATTTTTTCAGCACGGGGACACACAAAGATGCTGATAAATGTGACGTGCAGGCGCTTTTAATTAGCGTGGCTTGCTAATTAAAGCAACGGTGCCACGTCCTGGAGCACGTGTAAAAACGCCCAGTATCTTCAATGGGGGAAGTGCTGCATTTAGGAGGAAAAGAGCTGGAAGGGGGGTCGTGTTAGTCCCGAATATAAGCATTTTGCTGTTTCATTTCTTGGCATAAAAGGCCTGTCGCCTCCTTCTCTGGAGGGTTACTTCACTTGTCTTCATGGCCCCTAAAATTTTCAGAGTACGCTGACCTTGGGCAACTGTATGTAAATGTACACGGGTGGCTACTCTGCCTCTGCGGGTGTCAGATGGGGGCATCTGACAGCGCTGCACTGAACGCAGAGGCAGCTTGTGTGTTGTGTATTTTGCCTAATTATACCTGGTTAAATATTTACGGACCAAATCTTAAGTCAGGCAAACTCCCAATGACATCTCTGTCCTTACTGTAACCAAGTGCACTTTAATTGGCACCAAATCACCTTCACTGGAATGTAAGAGTTTGGGCAGAAAATATTCTAAAATAATGGCGAGTAGACAGGGCAGTAACATTCAACGTTAGTGGCACAGCACTACTCATTTAACCATGTGGCTGTTCAGATTTAAAAAACCCCAAATGCTACTGTATTATACAGGGTTCTGAGGCAAGAAAGAGCTTATTGCAGCAAAATATTTAAACGTACAATTAGACTAAAATGTAACTCGCCGAAAAGTACTTCTTATCTTGTGTCTGGAGGAAATCTGAACTCTTCTTGACTACGTACAAAGACGCTTTTAACCAGTCCTAGGATGTTTGAATAAAAATACATATCCTTGCAGTTGTATCCTCCAGGCGTAGCGATGTAGTCGCCATCATAACACCTGCTATAAATGTTGCTATCTCATTACACGTTTAATTTCATGAAGTGTCAAGAACACACTGCAGTGTGGTATTCCCACCTCAAAGCATTAGTTTCTAATTGCAAAACTATTACTGCATGTAAAATTCACAATAATCGCTGAAGCTTTAATGAGTTATTTAAATGAATGGCAAATAATCGAACTTACCCAACAGACTCTTCCCTCTACTTAGCTTTTGAATCCTGTTCATTTCATTCTGGCAAGGAAGACCTAAATAGAAAGTACGAGAGTCACTTTCCAGATGGTCCAGGACAGACTCTCTAATGACTGCCTTTGCTATCGACACGAAATACAGGCTACTGCACACCTGAGAACGGGGGAGCCCCATATGCTGTTACTGTACAGCAAAACAAATTTATGTCATTAGCTCTACTAATTAAAAAATGCACACCACGCTATACTTGCAAATAGTGTATGGGGGCCATTTTGGTTGTCAAACGGTTTTTCCTTCTCTCCAGCCAGCTGAAATAAGGCCAGGTTTCTAATTTATGATTTGTAATAAACTAATTTCCACATTAATAAGAAAACAAGTTCATCTGCTTTCTATTAGCAATAAAACACATTCCTAGATTTTGAGTGCTAGCAATTTAATTTGCTTCTTTTTTTTTTTGTTCGAGCACTGCCACACATTTAGTCAGGGGACATTGATAACATTCATCCACAATATTTGCCATCATTATACTATAGTCTTTTTTCATGAGGGGGTACATATTTTGTTCAATGCAAAGGAAGATGAACTTCCAATCTGACATGACTGGCAGGCCAGTCAAGGCATAAGAAAGAGGAAGGGACCTTGGGAAAGAAATGAAAAAAACAATAACACCACTATATAAATGTGAAAAAAAGAGAGCGAGAGAAACCAGAAATGGTTCCTCATTAAAGAGAGTTGCAATTTATTAAACCACGTGGTATTATTTTGTAATATTAATCTGACTGAAGGGTATAACAGAGTGATGGGGAACAGATTCTGCACTAACCTTATAGGAGATCATTATAAACAGCAATTTTCCCCAGTGCTTATATCACAGCCATCTATATTGTTCTCTGTAGCTATAAGAACACGTCACAAAGATGGGTAAATGGTGCTAATTCCATTTTAGAGATGCTTACACTGAGCCATGGGAAGAATTAAGACAAAGCTTGCAAACTTGCTTAGCTAAATTAAGCTCCTAATTCCAGATTTGGGCACAGAAATGCAGAGGTTGAGCAGCCAGAAATCCCACAGATCTCATGACCAGATGTGGCTTCCTCATTATTCCTTAAAAATCAGCCCTATCTTATGGCATCCAAGTTTGGGAATGTGTTGCCTGAGGCTTCCTAACATCCTGTCCAGTCCTCTGAATTATGCATGGGGATGACTGGCACCCCAGGTAGTAAGATGATATCTGTCTTACCTAATCATTACTAACACCACCAGTAATAAAGACAGAGTGTCTAAAGATCTGATGCCTTTACTGGATGACATTTGCTGCAATGTTTCAGCATCCATATTGTGATGTGGTCTACATCAGTTTTACACCATAAAACCAAACGCCTTACCTCCTGGCTTCTGAAAGCAGTAGCACCATTCGTTGTTTGAAAGCTTTCCGTCTTTGAAGGAGTCGCAGGAGTTGAAGAGGGGTTTAATGCACGGCTCGTACTTATCAAGATAAATGGCATTGATCTCCGAGTGATCCAGCAAGAGGTCATAGTTCATATCGAGTTTGTTGAACATCCAGCCTAACGAATCCTTACAGATGGGTAGTATGCTGGTGTCGAACCCTAGGAGAGCACAGATAAACAACCCCCTGATGAGTCACAACGCATAGCCTCCTACATGCATCATTTGGAAATTACAGCATTATTTCTCTTGCCGGGTCTTTTATTTGGAATATGGAGCAAATGTCTTCTCCGATTAACCCTTTCCTGCCCAGCAGCAGCGAGCCGATGCAAAGTACGAATGAACGAACTGGTTGAATCAAGTCGAAGCGGATGGGAGTCTGATCCGAGTTCTGGGGCAGAACGCCACTGACGCGTTGCAGGGAGACAGAGGGTGGGGATCCCCAAGCCTTACTCAACATTAACCCAAACTGTTGTTTCCTGTGTCCCACACTGCACTCCCCATCATTTGCAAGTGGATGTACTGTGTTTGCTTCAAGAAGGTGGAGCTGCAGATGCCCCATGAGAGAGGCTGCATGCATTGTGTTTGCAAACTGGTTTGACTCACAAAGTGTAGGAATCTTGAGGCACAAAGCCCATGTCCAGGAGATTATCAGGCCCATTTCTCACTCCCTTACCACATTATTTCATAGCTTCCTTTCGTCTGCCATGTCCAACCCAATCTTCCTCCATCAAGGCCCCACCCAGATCTGCTCTTGGCCACATGGCTGCTCTAATTGCCTGCTGGGCTCTTGTAACCTATGTTCCTCATTGATTGGGTGGTCAAGACTGATTGGGCGGTCCTCTTTTGTCTGAACTGCTCTGAAAACACCACAGTGCTTTGAAGCCCTGGAGTGCAATGGTTTTCTAACTCCACAAAAGCAAATCAGCTGAAAAGGCTGCACATCTGCACTCCTGCCTGCTCCTGTCTACTCCCGTCTTCTGTACCCAGCACCATGGAGCGAGAGAACAAGTGTATTTACAGTGCATGCTTGTACTGCATGCCTGTGTAGTTCTGCAGGGCCTGGAGAGACAGCATTTTAGACGCTCTTGGAGAACATTTTAATCACCCAAATGCCAACCTGGGATTTCTAAGGCAAGTCTTTAACAGGTCTCTTTCCACTTCCTTTTTCAAAGCTTGGCACACAGTTAATTAACCCTCACAGTATCCCAAGGGTGCAGGGCAATATACTGACAGGCTATAGCTAAGAGAACAACTGAAATGGAGAAACACAAAGTTCCAGGTTATGAAGTCTCCCACAACACGCAGGTACTAATGAGGGCTGTGCAGGCCCACAATGCTCCCTAGAGGACATACACAGGGCACCTTGCACATGCACCCTCCAGTACACAACCACCTGAGTGTAAGTGGTAAATCAGTGCCTGCCTTTCCTGCAAGAAGGGTGACGTTACTTTCCATGCAAGATGATGATTTTTATTCCCTTCAGAGGATGTTAAAACCCATCATCTACTCTAGGCACCATCTGGAGACCACTTACCTGTGCTCGCCTTGCGCTGCCCTACTGAGCATGTTCAATAGACCGCACTGTGGCGGTATGGGTGTCTGGGGTAACAGAATTGCTCAGGCATGCATGTTAATCCCACAGAAAAAAACACAAGTAGCTGGCATGGGGAGAAGAGGTCTTGCATTCAACTATCTAGTCATTAGGTTACTTGCCCACAGTAGGGTTTGAATCTACACGTTCCTGTTTCCATCCCAACTGGTCTAACAAACAGACTACAGACTAGGCATTTCCCAAAGCTTCCTCCAGCCCTTCTTTTGAAGTGGCTCACTGGGCAGCCAGATGGGGAAGGTATTGCGAATCCAGGAGAAACAGAGGAAGGGTGCCTCAGGAGGCTAAAACTGTATCCTAAACAAGAGATGGTGGTGAGTTTTAGACTAGATCTCCGACATACCTGGAGGGTAAAATTAGCTAGCAATAATTTGCTTTATTCACTGATAAAGGTCCACAGGTGACTTCAAGACAAGGGCTGGGGAGTACTTGAAGCAATACTCGTTCATGGCATGGTGGTTAGCTTGGAGGTGGGTAATGCATCTCTACTCTACCTTCCCCATCATTTTGGGGGGGGGGGGGGGGGCGC